CACAGCGCACTCGTCGACAACTGACAGTCTTACCACTTATCTATCATCCCACCGACTGACATCTTCAGGTACTTCATCATCAACTTCTTTAGAATATCAGCGTTTTGTGGTTCTGCTTCAACATCAACTCGACTCTCACTTCATTGACGTTATCGACCACCTCAACGACTTCAACTATCTTTTTGACTTCATCTACTTCATGAGTTTCAACTACTTTGGACGTGATTAATTTACTCCACCACCGGTCTTTGTCCATTTCTTTGTATGTGTCGCATGATGGTTCTTTCTTAGTCGGTTCTCCCTGAGTTTGACTCTCTCTTGGTATTACATAGGTATTGGGACCGTAGCGTTATCTTGGTTTCCCTTCTCCCAGATCTGGCTCCCTCCCTAGTCGGTGAGTTGTGTGCATGTTTCCCTCACTCACTACCCTCATCACCTTGGTGGCGGTCATTGCATGCCTTCAGTTAGGCATATCTCCACCTATTTCAAGCTCCCTTTCATGGTCGACCTTGCATGGTGTCACCCTTTTGTCGAGCATTACCCGCCTTGATAGTCTATTTGTTAGGGTCGTTGGTTTGATTTCGCTACCATTCCCTCGTCCCGAGCCTGATAACCTATCCCACCTTCGTGTGCGACTGCCCTTAGGAGTTCCGATTCTTAGGCTGCATTTATCCCCTCTGAGACCATCCCACTCTTAGTGGTTCAGTGACACGACATTATCGTGTGACATATTGCTATCTTTTCCTTTTAGCACTGAGTCTGTTGTCTCTAGGACTTTAAAATTGTACTCTGCTACATTTCATTTCTTGTTGTTAGCTAGGACCATGCCTCTGGCAGCCCTGGTCTGGAGCCAAGGCTATCCGACTATTTTGCTAGTTCAGCCTGTGGGCCCAGGCCGTGACCTGACTCAACAGGCAGTGTGCTCATTCAGTCCTGTCCAGTTCTGCCCGATACCATTGTCGATACCAGGACAGTCCGGTCTAATCCAGTCAGTCCGCTCGGGGTATACCCCAGCTGCAGTCTGTTTTCCTTGGCATTCTTCATTTGCACAGTTTGGACTACGTGTATGTTGAGTCTGCGTCGGAGCTGCGTTGTCCCGTCCAACTCCATCTCCATCTCCCTCATCCTCATCCCTTCGTCTTGATCCTAACGAACTGCCATCCCGACGGGTCCGTCACACACACCATGCTAGGACTCTTTCTGCTTAGCTCCGAATGCGACTACAATTACATTCGTCAGACCTGCCCATGATTGCAGCGAGCTTCATTTAGGGAAGTGCTATTGTTGGTCCCTCCCTCCAAAGCTTCTGTTAGGATTTATGAAGCTGCTGAGAGCATCTCGTATGTGCCTCACTACCGTCTTAACCCGAAAACAAGGTACGTACCTTGTATTCAAGTTACCTCCGAAAAACGGGTTCCGAGAAATCGCCGCTAAATTTTAGAATAGAAGGTACCCTCGAATACAAGGTACGTACCTTGTATTCAAGGTGTGCCTCTCTCTCTCTCTCTCTGTGTGTCTCTCTCTCTCTGCGTGTGTGTGTGTGTGTGTGTGTGTGTGTGTGTGTGTGTGTGGCATGGGCTGTCCACGCGATCGCTATACTCTCTCTCTCTCTCTCTCTCTCTCTCTCTCTCTCTCTCTCTCTCTCTCTCTCTCTCTCTCTC